TGCTGAAAGATTCTGTGCTGGCAGCTCTGTGGGGCACACAGACTATGCAAGTTCTTTTCATCTGCCATTGCAAAACCCTCCCTGCTTGACCTCAGTCCAGACGTAAAGCTATAAGCAATCAGGGAGGTGCCACTGTCAGCCAGCACAACTAGACCCAGGAAGGATGTCTGGAGCCATAGGTTTCCACAGGTTTGAGCTAACTAGCTGGCTTTGCGCTGGAGTAGATTAAAGAGCACTCACAAGATCCTAAGGCTTGAGCTTTGGAAGCCGCAAGCTCTGCCAAAAGGGTGATGACAAACATCTTGAGAGTGGTAACATTTTAAGCCGCCAGTCACTTCTGCAGCAGCTGCACACCACCTTGGATCTGTTCAAAAAGACAGTGGGAAACAGCACCTTTTTATCCTGGAAGCTCTCTGTGCTGCCGGTGGATAGGAATATTAATAAATACTGTGGAAAAGAAAATGTTGCTGATAAGGGTGTGGACAATTTTTGCTTTGAGTTGTGTGTTTGACTGTTTCTAAACTCCCTTTGAGGTTTAACAAAACTTTCTTCCCTAAAGATCATTGGCGTAGATCCCGACGGCTCCATTGTCGCTCTGCCCAGTGAGATGAACAGAACGAACACCACAACCATCGAGGTGGAGGGCATTGGGCATGACTTTATCCCTACTGTCCTTGACAGATCAGTAAGTAATCGTGTGATGGGGGCCTCTGATCTTCGGCTTTGCATCTAACTCTCAAATTTAGAGGTGGTCAGCTCTGGCACCCAGCTGCGGCCCAGCCCTAAGGTTACTTGTGTACCTTCCCAGCACAGAACCAGCTGTTACGGGGGAACCGAGACCCCAGCACTAAAGCATCTCTCAGTAAATCTGATTATAACTGACCTACAAGGAGAATCCAAAAAAAGGGACAAAGGAGGAATATGCCACAGTGCCCATGTCGTCATGTCAGCCTCACCAATGTTCAGAGTGTGCCTCTTGTGCTATGGTCATATAGAAGAGGTCAGAGCTGAGGCTGCCCTTCATCACGCTAGAGTTTCCTGATCCTCTGCGGTCACAGGCACTGCACACACACCAGAAGCCTTGCACCATTTATGAGCTGGAAGACAAGACCCAAATTATGTGAAACAACAGATCATGAACCTTGCACAACTTCTCATCAAGTTTCTTCCCAGTGTATCAGTTGCCACCAGGCACAGAGCTTTAAAGTCCTAACTCAAGCTGGCTGTGCTCCTCCAGCCTCAGACCCCACATTCTTTCTGTTTTCAGATGTTGTGTTAACAACATCTCTGCTGTTGGCACACGGCTTTAGAACTGTGACCTGTAATAACCCAAAACTCTTTTTGTAGTTGGATCTGATGTTGCCTGGCAAAATCTTGAGCATTAGTGTAGCCTAGCCTGGGACATCATGAATTCCAGTCCCTCTTCTACACCCCGACTCTGGACCTCTCTGACATCCTTAACTCTCTGGTGCCGGCTGGAAAGGCTGGAGTGGGTGCCTGCAAGCAAGGACACATCCTTCAGATGGAGGATTCCCTGACAAATGTCTTTGCTTTCAACAAGTGTGGAAAGCAGCTCAGAGCTGCCAGCACTGTGACATGTCTCAGAGGGTTGGGACAGCCTGAAATAGCACCTCCAGAAACCAACCTTCTTACTTTCTCTTCAGGTGGTTGATCAGTGGTACAAATGCAATGACAGAGACTCGTTCCTCATGTCTCGCAGGCTGATCAGAGAGGAGGGGCTATTGTGCGGTAAGCACCAATGACAGCACTTGCTTCTCTGAACCTCATCCTTTTATCATTTAGGGACCAAAATGCTTTGGGGTGGGTGCTCCCCTGCACTGTGTGTCTGCTAGATTAACAGGGCTCAGTGGCTGAACCCTGAGCTGGTGTGTAGGGTGCTGTAGACTTCAGAGGTGTGGCAGTGGGTCCGTGGTCTGGGATCTGACTCATCAGCCACGGTAATTATAGAAGCAATGAGTCTCCTCTTACTGGAGCACTTCTGCGCATGGAACTGGATCTTTAGGCCTAGCTCTGTGCAGTGTAGTGTTACCCAGGCTGAGGGGAGGATTAATGGGACTCAGGGCAGGACAGGTGGGCTAAAACCGTCGCTTCGCTAACAGCCCTGCAAGGTTGACCCCAATAGGGTCCCTTCCTGTTGCTGAACGGTTGCTATGCTGGAGGTGCCAGGTTTGGACCAGGAAAGTTTGAAAGCGAAGAAAGTGTAAGATGTTCTTACTGATTATTTCTCCTTGTGCCAACGAGCTGTAAGTGATCCCACTGGCTTTCCGAAATGAACAGGTGTCCTCAGACAAACCCTGCCTGTACCCTAGGAGCCTCTACACAGCAACAGCGTTTTTCAGCCTTCCTTGCTGAAGGTTTGGGTCTGGGACCAGACAATGTATAGGTTTGTAGTTACAGCTGATAAAAGTCCTGATTGCTCACAGCTGGGGAGTTCTGAAAAAGATCAGGCCATTTCTAATGAAACACTTAAATGTTGATTTAACCTAGCAGACACAGAGTCGCTGTGTTTCAACAGAAACCACTTGCTGAACTCAACTATAATTTGTGAATAGCTTCGTGTTCCCAGAACTGCATTTTTCAGGGCCTTTCCTCATTTGTTTGAAAAATGTGACCCAGTGCTAATTAACCTGCTTTAAAATACGTGCTGCCTTGAATGCGGTGTGTAATTGGCACACAGATAGGGGAATGTGTTTGACTTCCAGTACTCGAACTACCAGTGGAAGAATTGCCCCTGTAAAGCAGGGACCTGCTTTCCCTACGTGCAGCAAACCACATGCATGCACACAGACACTGGGAGTGTTTAAGTCTTCCCATCGCGTTGGCCTGGTATTCCAAGCATGAATGTAATGTTTATGGTTTTTTCAGCCTTTACAATACATTTAAAGCCAATCTTTGATTGACAAATATGTCAGCCAGAAGCTTTAGATTTGGCATAGTCTTCTTCTCACCCAAAGGAAGGGTGCAACGTGGGCATCAGTGGTATGAACATCCCCATATTGAACCTTTCAGCCATTGGCCTGCCCACAGATTCATCACAAGAAGGGGTTCATGAAGTTCATAAGGTGACTCTTATGCTTACTCATAAGCTCATTGCCAAAAGCCATGATATGAACACATCCCTTTGGTCTCTACCTCCTCCTGACCCTAAAGCCTACAAGTCTGTGGGGCTGATTGTCCTCCCACTCCCAGTGTCTTGAGCTGCTCTGGTGTACAAGGTGCCACCTCTGCCATCGCTTGGCCTGGGTGCCTTTGTGCCATTAGCTGGGGCAGTGCTGTGCCCCACACATCGAGACTATGTTCCCACACCCTGGGCAGTCCCAATGCTTGTCTCTCTTTTCTTGGTACCCATCCAGGTGGCAGCTCAGGCAGTGCCATGTCCGTCGCTGTGCGGGCTGCCAAGGACCTGAAGGAAGGTCAGCGCTGCGTGGTCATCCTGCCTGACTCCGTCAGGAACTACATGTGAGTTTCTCGCTTCCTCACTTGCTTTCTGGTGGCGGGGTTGGAGGTCCCATAGCCTTCTCCCCATCCTCTCTGCATATGGCCTGGGTTGGGGCCATGGCGCTCTTTGGTAAGGACATGAGCTTAGCACTGCTGAGCCCCAGTTGCTGGAGAGCCACCCGAATAACTCTGATAGCATGGCACCCAGAGTGAGCCCAGAGCTGGGAGTCTCCCTCAAGAGGCCCACAGGAAAAAAAAAATAAATAGGGGGAAATAGCATACTACTATAGCGAGCACCAGGGGCTGGGTGTTGGGACACTTGGGTTTTATTTCCTCTCATCACTGACTTACTGCACGGAGCAGGAATCAGTCAAGCTATAGTTTTTGAACTTGCATGCCTAACGTTAGGCAGGCAAATAGCTGGCATGCCTCTAAGAGTTACTGAGCACCCGCAGCTCCCGCTGACCTTAAAAGGGGCTAAGAGCAGCCAGCTGCAAAAATCATGGGAGCCCTGGGGCAGTGCTGCGGTCTAGTGCATGAAACGAAGCACGACTTCTTCTGGAAGGCTCACAGACTTGTTCTTTGTTGGTGATTTCTAGGTCCAAATTTTTGAATGATAAATGGATGATAAAAAATGGTTTCCTAAATGACGTCCAGGAGCACAAGCCTTGGTAAGACAACATCTGCTGATAGAAACTGTGATAAAAGAATCGGTTTTCTGAGTCTGGAAATTATTATCTTCAAAGGAAAGTATTATCTTTCAGTATTTAGAAAAAAATGCAGTTAAGTCTGGATCCTTCTGTCGAGGCGGTAATGGCAGCTCCTCTCTTTTGAGTAGTTACGTATCCCAGTTCTCCAATCAAAATCTACAAAGAAGCCATCTCTACCCCAAAGTTACCAATCTACTCCCACATGGTAGTCGTTCTCCAGGCCACCTAAACCCTACTGAGCCAAATGGGTGCAGTGGACATCTAGCTTCACTCAAAACCTCCTCTTGCTACTCCGCAGCTGATGGACAAAGAGACATTGGGCCAACAGGGAGATGGGTCCCTCCTGTAGCAAGCACCCTTTCAAACAGCTCTGGAGGCCTTTTCAGGCAGAGAATAGGAAATTTTAACTTTCCAGAGCTGCAGGCCAGAAAAGATGGCCAACTCAGCTGTCTCTTGCACACCATGGGGAAAGAGTCCTCTCAAGGCAGGACAACAGAGACAAACTGCTGATGCCAATTGACATATGGCTGGGCAATGTCAGTTGTTTAGAAAGCACCTAGTCTTGCTTTAAAGACAGCAGGTATTATTTATGTCACCTGCTCCTTTATGCTACTATAACCAAAGGTTATTGCAAATATTTCCTAAAAATGTAATAGATTTCCAAAGTGTCTCATGCCTGGCTAGAATTGCTCTTGGCCCTTACAGCCTCTAGCATTGCCTGGTCTTTTCTGCAAAGACAAAGCCTGAGATAAGTTGGGAGCTGCCTGTGGTCCCCAGCAAACAAGTGCAGCTTGTCCCTCATAAGTCACACGAGCATCTCTGCCAGGCTCCCTCCTGGAGGGAGCAAATGCTGCATTTTGAGGACCCAGGATACAACCTAAAGAACTAAAACTGAAGTGAAGAGCTCAGTAACTTCCTTGGATTCAGGACAGCTCAGCACCTTGCCAACTGCTGGCCTCAGCCCTGCCTCTGGAGTTTTATGCACACTGGGCATAGGGAAATCTTGGCTTCAGCAAGACCTGGCCATGGTGGACTTGTAGCGTTACTGCCTTGGGGATAGGAGTGGGCAGGCAGAATATATCTGTGTGGGTGGTTTCATCTTTACTGGCCTTGCCTCCCTTAGCAAGACCCACAGCCACACAGCAGAGAGTAACAGCTTCGTGCTGCCATTTGTCTTTCAACAGGTGGTGGAACATCAAGGTGCAGAAACTGAATCTCTCAGCCCCTCTCATCCTCCTCCCAGAAGTCAGCTGTCAAAAAGCAATTGAGATTCTCCAGGAGAAGGGATTCGACCAAGCTCCTGTTGTTGCTGAATCAGGGTAACTATTTTTTACTCATTACAGAGATGGTCATTCATGTAGGAAAAGCAGCCATGATGAAGCTAAAGAAAAAGTCCCATTTACTGATCCAGTGGTGGGGCTCTTGTGTTGGATTCTGTGATGTATATTTTTAAAATATCATCTGCCTCCTTGAGAAGATTCACCAAGAAAACTCCCTGTAAATGCTCTAGTTACAGTCAAAGCCAAATCCAGTGCCCACCAGACTGAGCAGAGGTTGGATCAGTGCACTGGCAAGGTGAGGACAGAGAAGAGGTGAGGGCTGGGTGGGAAACCCATACAAATAAGCAACTGGGTTGCTGACCAGTTTTCCTTCTCCCAGCTGCTAAGTTCTGGACTGCAATAGCAAACTGTAACTACTGTTAAACCAACAACTTGGTGAGGATGAGGATCTTCTTGTCCTGCTCTGATGAGGAGAAAGCTGGTGCCTCCCACTGATGGCAGCAGCAATTTAGAGGACTTCAAGGGGAGCAGTTCAGCCCCTACATAAAAAGTGTGCCCTGCCTCAAGTCTGACCTTTTGGAAAACATTCTGTTCCCTTACAGACTTATTTTGGGCATGGTGACCCTCAGCAACACCCTCACCTCAGTGCTGGCTGGAAAGGCACAGTTCTCAGACCCTGTTACAAAGGTCATCTACGACCAGTTCTCAAAGGTACCACTAAGGCTGTGGATGCTATCAACCACTGTCCCGGGATGGGGAGCAGCGGGGAGAGGTGCACCACCACCCAGAGGTGTGAGAGGAGCTGGGAGAAGAGGTCAATGAAAAGACAGATGTGAGGGTGGAGACAGATGGAGAGGGCGATGGAGACACCCCCAATCTTATCTTGTCAGAGGATTTCATCCAGTTAGGGGATGAGCACCTTCAGCAGGGCTGGGGCAACAGGCACAGGCTCTGATGGGATTCAGGGCAGGTCCTGTGGGTGTGCAGGTGAGAGACACCTGAGTTGGATGGCCATCGATGGTCCAGAGAAATGGATTGAGGTAAATGGATGGTGTTTTAGGGGAGCTGAAGCCATCACCTCATGCTGGCCCATGGAGGCCCTTTGGGTTGTGGGAGATGGTGCTGTGTTTCAGCTACAGCACATTCAGGTTTGCAGGTTGTATGCATCCCCTCCCATGTCCCCAAAACAGTGTGGGTAGGTGAGGTGCAGCTGATCCTGGTCCAGCTGCCACCCTGCCTACTCACAGCTACAGTCAGAGGCAGGAGTCAGGCTTCACACCACTGTCCTTTAAATGTGAAGTGAAATATTAAATGTCTTTTTTTGTCCTGCTCAGATTGGCCTGGAGGACAGCCTTGGGAAGCTTTCCTGCATCCTGGAGAACGACCATTTTGCTATCATTGTACATGAGCAAATGCAGTGTAGGTATCTGCAGAAGCACTGTACAGGCTTTGCATGAATGTTTGTGAGGGGAGAGGGAAATTCTCAAACTGAGCTTGGTAGGTATCAGCGCAGCTGCTCCAGATGTGCAGCCTCTGAGCCTCTGTGGCTCTGCAAAGCCTTGGAACTGCCTACTATCCACCCATCTCCTTTCCTGACACCACAGAGATGAGGGGAGAGGGGGAAAGCCTTAGCTCCAGGAGCCTGGGACCAGCACACAGGAGCAATTTCCAGATCTTGGCCATGAGAGGCCCAAGCAGGGGTGATGCTGAAGCACCCATCAGCTCCATCCCCTCCCCTCATCTTATGGTTTCCCATGGAAACACACTTTTGGTTTTGGGAAGGTATTCATTATAGGGTCTCATCTGGTCCCCTCAGGTGGACTGTAGGCAGCAGCTTGGGTTCCCACTTGTTACCCCTGGAGATGCAGCTAAGAGACATCCTTAGATCTGTGTGCCCCAAGGCGTCTGGGTAAACTGATATGCTGAGGGTCTTTCATGCTGGGTGCTATCAGACACCTGCCCTGGAGGTTCAGGGTAAGTCAAGAAAGCTGAAAACAAGTGTGTTGGACCATGCACAAGCCCTGTGGTGAAGGCACATAAGTCAGGAGGCACAACACACAGTGATGCATGCAGCCTGGGGCATCAGTGTATGAGCCTTACCTGGACCACAGCTGGGTATAGGGATGCTCTGCTATGAGCATGACAGTACAGGGGTTGCTGACACATTGATGCCAGCAGGGATCACACTTTGTTGCTCCCCTGACCAAAACAGGTATGGTGGCAGGTGCTGTTCTGTAAATCTGACCTAACACACCTTTCCAGTACAATCATACCACAAAACTTCGACAAGTACAAATTTGGCCCTATCTCAAGGGAGTTGCCTTGTTTAAATTTTATCAACATGAAAAAGCAGTCAGAAGACCCATGTTTAGGTCTTCTAAATTAGAGCTGAAGGGTGCAATTATACTGATATTATGAGATTGCACATTGAACATGCAAAGCATTCCTATGGTGAGCAATATGCAGTGTTGCACTGAACTCAGGGCCTCCAAAACCCACTATGCACAAACTTACCAGCCTCTCCGCTTGTACCTCTCTGGCCTGCCACCCCAAAGCCCCATCAGCTCTAAAGTGGGCTTGCAAGTCCAGCCATGTTCCCACAAACAAGTGTCTGTCATTCAAAACTGGCTTTGATGTACATTTCCAATTCTCTCCCCAAAAATAATGCCAGGCAGAATTTCTTTTCTCAGCTATGTTGTCATAAATAATGAAAATCTGTTTTGTGTCACATTTTGATATAAATTAAAAGGTATCCACAAATTAAATGGCATCCACCAAAAATATCAGTCAGCTGTATGCAGTGCTCTTGCTCTGGTTTTCAAACAGTGCCCGTTTTCTTTTCCAGAGCTGCTGTTTTAATGCCGCCACAGTTACCCCCTTATTTATTACTTTCTTCCCACACCTTCGGAGCTTGCATTTTATCTCGTGTTTGGACTCTGGTGGACAGTTTTGTTTTTATTTAAGAAAACATTTCTCAGATAGTTAAAGCAATTGTTGTAATGCTGGTTTATTAATGGTGGTGTAGGCCTTTATGAGAACAGAGCAGAAAGGGTCTCACTGCTGCTCTTAAAGAGTCCCACTTTGTTTGGCCTGAAAAGTTTTGTGGTGATAGAAGCAGGACTGGAACAGAGGTTGTGGGTAAAAACAACTGGGAAATTAAGTTTCCTGCTCTGGCAAAGGGGGCATTATTTGGAGCTAAAACCTCCCTGATGTGATCCCAGTAACCTGACCGAGGTTGTATCAGTCATTTCTGTTGAGCCAGAGCAGAGACAGCTGTTGTCTCCATTAAGGTTTTCTCGTAATAAACATAAACAAGTAGCAGCCTTTGCACAGCTGCAGGGGTTTTCCCCCCCTTTTTCTTTTTTCCCCACTAAACTAGCATTTTCTGTGCTCACAGTCAATGGCAATGGCAGTTCCTTCATGAAGCAGATGGTGTTCGGTGTGGTCACAGCGATGGACCTGCTCACCTTTGTCAGCAGAAACGACAAGAAGTAGCGCAGCAACTTGGCTGCAGCCACCTCCTCCCCTGCAGCAGGGCCAGCTGCGCCCCCCATGCCCGAAACACCCGGCTGAGGACACTTTTTGGTCTAACCCAGCCAATAGTTTCTCAAAATGACTTGGTGAAAATTGTAATGTAATAACCCTTTGTCCACTAAATGCCACCCAGAGTATCACTAAAGAGGAGATAACTGAAGAAATAGCATTTAATAGCTGTGTGCGCTAACACAGAGCTTCCCAGGGCTGGAGAGGTAATGCGGTGGTGGGTAAGGATGAGAAGGGAGTGGTTGATATTGCCCAGATTTTAGCAGGTGGGGGGTTTGGTGTGTTTGCTAGCAGGAGGTATGCACTGCCAGTGTTGCAGTCGCTGTGAGTCACCCTAGTCCCAGTTTTCTTGAGGTCTGGGGGCAAGCCACATCACAGCTGCACCTCCCTGCTCCTATCCACCTCTAGGAGGGAAGGCTGCAGGTACCCCCTCCTCCCCAAGAAGACCCTCCTTCTCACCCCTGGGTCCATTTGGTGGCCAAGAAGGCTGTTTCTTCCTCCCTTCCCTGTCCCCACTTTGGGACAAGTGGGAGAGGCAGGGCCCCAGAGGAACAATTAGGAGGGGAGCAGGTGGGATGTAGCACCCTGGTACATGCAAGGTAGGGAGCTGGGCAGGAAGGGACAACCAAGGGCTGTGAGGGGCAGGGGGACAAGGTCCTGGGTAGGTGGGGTACAATCACTCCTGTAGCAACAACTGGCCTTTGGAAAGCTCCTTCCTCACCTCTGGGGGAGCTGCTGGCACCAGGTGTCTCACACATGGTCCCATGGGATGGGGTGGTGAACTGAACTCATTCAAGAAGTAAAGACTCACGATATAAGAACTGGGAGAGGGGATATGGCTGCACCCCTGTGTCCTGTAACAGTCATCTCACGGATGTTGGAGTATTATGTTCCAGGAACTGATAATGAAGGTCAGAAGAGCCATTTGCCATGGCTGCAAAAATACATAAATGAAAGCAAATGTGAAAGGAGGGCTGTGGGACCAAACTGAAGCGATGCTGAAACCTAATTTGGGGCAGTTGCTCTCAAAAGATGCTAATAACTTTGCAAACTTTCCATAAGTCTCAGGAGCTGCTCCAAGGGAACAAGAACTAATTCCAATTTTGGCTTGCTGCTAAGTGGCTAGTCCATACTTTCAATCTAATCTAGTCTGTACATGTCTTTTACTAAAATATAGAATGCTGAAGTATTTATATTTAGGAAGAGTGTCTCTGCTGTCTTGTTTCCTAAGTGACAGAAGACATATCAGATCTTCTGTGAGTGTTTGCTTCAGTAATAACTGTATTTGTCCAGAAAAAGTAAAAACTGATTAGATCAACCTCATTGTATTGTATTTATTTTAGCAACCTTGTTGCAAACTGAAGGGTATTAGTCCTTGCATGTATTCCAGACTCACATGAATGAGTCCTAAAGTGCCCCATAATTCCAAGAAGCCCAGAACCGAGTCTTTGAAGTCTAGGTGACTTGCCAGTGTCTGGAGACCACTGCCACCCATTCCCAGAGCAAGTCCTCCAAGTGCACATGGAAAGAAGGCCCTGCACATTGGGCAGGCCTTTCCCAGGGCTTTACAGTACATGGATCTCACCTGAGAGCTCTGTAGCAGGAACGAGCACTCCATTTGGTGTAGCAATACCCAAGGCTGCAGGGTGACAGGCCATGCTATTGGATTGTCTTCTCAGAAATTGCCTGTGTTTATGCAAAAGCTGTTCCAGTGCTGTAAGTCTGAACAGACAAGAAGGCAATATTTGATGTGTTTGACCCGAATGTTTGACAAGGCAGCTGCACCTCAGCAGAGGGTGAAGTAACTGCTGAGTAGTAACCACGAATATTTACAACGGCTTCTGTAGGTCAGCTATGAGTGTGAGAACCAATGAAGTTGGGTGCTCCAGGCATTTCAGAATTGCTCCACCTGGGCTGTAGCCAGCCTCATTGAGATGCTCTCAGGGTCCCCAGGCACATCTGATGGTGGCATTGCCCTGGCCAGGGATGTGGGCATTGCATCTGCTGTAGTTTGCCCCAGACTGTGACCCTCAGGTTGCAAAGGTGCCTGCAGTACATGCCCAGGGCAGAGCAGTGTCCTGCCGGCACCCTGGGAAGTGAGAGGGACGAGCTGCTGTAATCCTGCCTGCTGTGTCTCTGCAGTCGGAAAGGCTTCAGCCAGCAGCGGTTTTGTTTGCCTTGTCTGCAGAAATCCCTGCAGGACCTGTAAACACACCTACACACAGCCTTGGTTTCAGTGGCAGGACCAAGAGCACTATCGCACCCACCGCCCGCAGTCCCTTCTCCCTGTGTCCCCAGGACTGCCCTCCGGCAGTGTCAGCCCCTTGGAGATAACTGGTCTTTCAAGTACGTTTCCTTTCTCCTGCCATCCAGGCCCTATCACTGTTTTACGTGTCCATTGAGAGGTGGCCACCCAACAGTGCACAGCACTACTCAGCGCTCTCGGGCTCTGCAGGGCATGGGGGTCCCATGTATCTACTAGAGGAACGGGGATTTTCAGGCTTAAGGAGTCATGAGAGGGCAATGGGAATAGGGCGAGGGCCAGGCAGCGCCTTGTCCCACTGTCCTGAGCGCGGCACCCAGCTCTGGTGCATGTCCGATCCTGGTCCTGCAGCCCACAACACTTCCTGCTCCGAGAGGTGCATGTGTGTGTGTGCATAGGGTAATGTGCGCTCCCAAAACCCTTGCTGCTCTCCACAGTCCCATCTGCTGCAAGACTTCCCTGCTCTTCATCCCATTGCTCTGCAAGGTTGGGGGACATGTTTCCAACCAGCTCATCATGCTAAGATGTTTTCATACCAGGGAGCCAATGACCCCGGGGGAGCTCGGCCTGCCCGTGCCAGTCAGGGCACATGGGTTACGTCTGCACATGAAACCTATGCAAACTTCCTCCTCTGGGACTCATGGCTCCTGCAGCTTAATCCATGGGGAAAACAGCCACACAGGGCTTAAGGTGCTTTGAATGGTGTTTGTGTAAAGCATGTGGTGTTGGAGGGCTGCCCTGCCCAGGGAAGCTGCATGGAGGCAGGGATAAAATGTGTGCCCCAAGAAGGTCCATGCCCACCTCTGGCTCCTGAGGGGAAGCATTGCAGCAGCGGAGCTCCTCCCTGGAGCTTTTACATTGCTTTGCTTTCCCTCTGGACACCAGTGTCTATGTCCCCAGCAGCCTGAAAAGTGCAGGCAGACACTGACTCTTCAGAAACGCTGGCTGAGGTCTGCACGGATGAGTGTGGGGAGAGCTGACAGACTTGCAGACGGCTGGGAGATGTCGGATTAGTCTGTCGTCTGACGGACTAAACCAACACCACTGGTGAGATAAACATCTTGCTGGCCCTGCCCAGCCACCTTTTGTGTTACCCGAGGCTTCCCCGCCTCCCCCGTCTCCCCCCACCAGTGTTTCCTCGTGGAGCCACCACTGGCGGCACATAAATAGAGGGCCCCAAGTGGGCTGTGGGGTGAAGACTGGAGAAGCAGCTCAAGGTCTTACGCCGTGCGCAGCAACCATCTCGTCTGCCCAGCCACCCTGCAGGTAACCAGCACCGGGACCCATGGGAACCTGGCATGGGGCAGGAGGGGAGTGTCTTATCCATCCCACACCCTAGTTTTCCAAAACTAAGGGGGAGGTCAAATGTTATCACCAGGAAAACTGTCCCAGTGTGAGGAGGGGGTTGCTCCCGCTGCAGCTGCTGAATGACAAACTTGATGATGTAGCCTTGCTGGAAATTGGCTCTGTTGGAGAAACCCAATTTTGTTGCTAGGTGGGGGTCAGAGGTTTCGGTGGTGAATAGGACTGCTGGGGCTGGACAGAAATTGAGATGTGCAAAACCTTTGAGATAATGATTGTGTCTGGTGGAGGTGCCCTGCACCCTCTGTGTGTGAAGCCCAGAGGAACCAGGCATCTGAAGCAACTGCCTCTCCACGGGGAGCAGGTCTGAGCTCCGTGCTGCTTAGCACGGCCACCAGTCCTCTGGGAATGATGATAAAGTAACCGGGAGATTAAAATGTGTGAATGAAATGAAAGGGCAGAACAGTAACTTACAGCAGGGATGAAGCAGTCACCAGTAACCTAAACAAGCAAGAGTTTGCTTTAAAAACAGTCTTTCTTCTTTTGAAATTGAAGACAGATGGAGTTCATGCTTTCAAGTTTTTTCTTTGGAGTTATGCAATTGGGAAATGTTTTTGCTTAAAAAAACCAAGACACTAAGAAGCAATTGCAAGTAGTTGCAAGTCTGCAGGAGTAGGAACTTGAGGCTATCAAATGCACAGCATGCAGGTAATGATATAATTGTAATCAAAGGTGGCATTGGGGCAACTGGAGAAGAGACCTGACCTGGAAGAAATTCCCAAGTTGAAACAAGGACGAGGTGACCCCCTTGGCCTCCCGCGAGGGAGCAAGGTGGCTGGAAACGGCAGGTGGGGAGCTGCCAGGAGGTTGGGGGCACAGCGGGGCTGGGAGCTGGCACCCAGAGCTGGCCCATGCAGAAGCAAGGTCCCAGCTGCAGCAGCAGCTGCAGAACAAGCCACCAAAGCTTCTTTGAACCCTTCCTGCGTCCATGCCCAGACGCCTTCCGTGAGTGATTAGTCACTGAAATGTAAATTATTAGCATCAGCGTAGAGGTGACCAAGTGCCATTTGCTGGCCAGGGCAACCGTGCCAAAGCTCAGTGTGTGCTGCAACGTGGTCTTTGCTAGCCCAGTGCCCACGCTGCAGCTGTGTGAACACCTGGTAGATGGAGGACACCTCAGTTGAGCCAGGATGGGCAGAAGGCTTTTTTGTTTCAGAGCAAACCACCTTGGTCCCAGTGAGCTGCAGATGACCAAAAATAATGGGCATGTTGGGAAGAGGCAGCTGCGTCTCACTCGCTTTAACCCTTGGGGGATGTCCAGACTTTGGGGGTTTGGTGTGCCCACACTGAGTGTGGCGCCTGCACCTATCTCCTCCTTTCTCTCTCC